AAGCGCGTCGATGGAGAAACATGAAAATTTTTGAGCAATAAAAAACATCGTGTTCAGCAGAATCTACTTGTTGAAACCGAGGCAAGGGAAATATTCCCAGCTTCGTCCCATTAGTAAACAATACATTTATATATCGATTATCCGCGGCTCGGCTGAATAGAACTGTTAACCGACTCTGCGCCGGACGTTTTATTTTTAATGGGCGAACGCGGAGAATGGCGGGCTTTAATTGCTGAAGGGTGGAAAGCTGAATTTAGTTTGCGCCACGTCCTTACCGTTCATTACTCTTTTCGCCGGGTCTGGATTTGAGGGAAGATCATAAACCACAATTTCTACTGTCCCTGTCCTATTGTCCTTTTCCCTCTGTGCGTCGTGCGCTAACAATCAGTACTTTCTACCGACAAAAGAAGATTAAAAGTTTCTCCTCGAGATTAAAGCAGCTTGCCGCGGAAACTGGCTATAGCTTTGAAACCGCCTTGCCGCGTTGTTGTTGCTTTTCATTCCAAAAGAACGTTGCGACTCTCATCTGTCACATGCAGCGACATAGAAAAATATTTACTTTTCGTCGGGGAAAAAAAATGATTGATCGTTACTTCACTTAAAACATTTACAGAACTGTCGTTTTACATTTAACAACGTTATGGTACTTTTGATTGCATCCGAAACGTTGTGGTGCATTAATATTTCATTTAGAAATGACAGCGCTTTTATCCCCTTGTAAAAACATTGGTAAATTTTCATTTTAAAATGGACGATGTAGAATAGCTGGTATTCCATTTTGATGTTTTCATAGGACAAGTTAGTAGGATATCTATTTGTCAGTTTCAACGGTACAGAAATATCGGCCATTTTTGCATGACGTTTTAAAGATTTTATTCTTTTGAAACCTTTATTCTTTTTAAACCTTATATTGATCGTATCAATATCTTAACCCTTTGCACTTAGGAGAGTCACCACATGGTTTGATGCAGTAAAATTATAAAGTTTGATGTTTAACGCTAAACTTCGTACAACGCATCACTATGTGAAATATCAAAGTAAAATACTTTTGTCCCTTAATTTATCGATTAAATTACTTTTATTAGTCACAACGACCATCGTCTATATTTTATCAAAGAGTGTTGATTATTTCTAGCAAAAAACTTTCAAGTGCAAAGGATTAATGCTTACTGTAATAATGACAATCCAGATTCCAAATGATAATTTAGAACAATCTTCAGCAATTACCAAAGGGTAATTTACTATTTCTGTTTAACAATTCTTTTTACTACAGAAAATATTAGATCTGCCCGACAGTTCTGTTCAAAGTTAAATGAACGAAAGAAAACGCGTAATACTTAATCAAATTTTAAAACTGGCCATTTGACGGTTAGTGTTAAGGTAACAGAATAAATTTGACATCGAGCCACGTTCGATACACGAGGGCAAAGGGTTAACTCCGAGGTTCGATTCACTGGATCATGAAAACGATATTCGCGGCACGCGTGCAGTTATCGAAAACTAAGCCGCGCGCCCCGTCGGCGACGATCCACGGCCACTAACTCATGCAAATGCGACGAGTCGGTGAATTAATGCGTTACGTAACATGCTGGCCGGTGGCCAGGTGAGAACTCGGCGCGCGGATGCAGTTCAACGAATGCACCGAGTGCAACGGCGGCTACGGCGGCGACGCACAGTGATCCATTCGCCCGAAAACGTGGCCAAAATAGCAAAAATAAAAGGTTCCATTTCACGGAATTAATGACATTAGTATACACGATATCCGTGTACGATTTGAAATAACTGGCTACAAAATAAAGGTAAACAAGTTAGATGATGCATTTCGTTTTAGTTGAAACAGAAACAAAAGGAAAGAAGAAAACTGAACGACTGATTAATCAGAAAATATAGGAATTGATATAAAGACAAATGAACGAAGGAAAACGCCCAATTTTGAATTCGGACATTTGACGTTATTCCAGTTCAAAGTTGATAGTCAAATACTAACCCTTTGCACCAGAAAGTTTTTCACTAGAAGTATTTAACATTTTCTTATGAGACACGAACGATATTTTTTAAGGTATGTAGCTATGTTATTGAAATATTTTACATATTGATGCATTGTGTGAAGTTTAGAATGAAATATAAAGCTGTACAGTTTCACTGCATTAAATCGAGTAGTGACAAGGTTGCCTATCGAGCGCAGAGGATTAAGATGCTACTTTGAAAGTAAATGACTAGTTATCAATTTATTTTGTCAAAGCAGAAATTGTAAATTATAACCTAGAATCGTATGGACTTGAAACTTGTATTAACACTAAGTTTACAGCCGTTTATCATACACTTTATTCTATTGGTCTTAGAAAAATTGATTTTCGTTCATTTCGATTCTGGAAATTAGGGATTCATAGACACACGATTGAAATACTCATTTGTCTTATCACATTAATCAAAATCGACGTAAACATTAACTAAACAATGTTCATAAAATTCAATGTGCATCAAAGTGTGACGCGTTACGTAAACCTAGCATTAACGACAATAATTCATGTGTATATTTTTCGTATAACCATAAGCATAAAGTTAACGATTCGTCTGTAACCACCGACTCGGTCGCGACGCCGAAGAACGCGATGAAATCACGGCGGACAATAGACTCTCCCGCGGGGGAACAATGAATTCTTCGTTATCGAACACTCGCTTCCCTTGCCCGGTTCCGGGGACGTTCAAGGTGTTCGGCTTCCGTTCGATTCTTCGATGTTTTCGGGCTGCGCCAATGTGCGACCGAGCTGCGGCTTTCACGCCATTTTTATCGCTAGAATAAATTGCACCGTTCCGAGGAAATTCGAAATATTTCTTTCTGCGTTGCGATGATTAGATTCTAGACTTTTATGTATTCATGGGACGTTTGATAATGCAAAATTGAATGCGCGGAATGCGTACGATTAAGAAGAAATAGGTGAAGTATTTAAAGTGTAGTGGATTTTGTAACATTTTGAATGAATTAATCTCCTTGAAAATGTTTCAGAATATAAATATTATATATATATAAATATTCCAAGTCTATTGGTCATATTTCTAATGAAATTTTTGTTGGATGAAGTTTGAGTATGTTGACTATCGATGATTGAAGAAGACATGATTTATAATTGATTTGGAAATTGTGATGGAATTTACGAGGATGATCAACTCGAATTTATAATAAACGAAGATTTCTGTTCGGTGTGATTGAAGTATAATTGAGTATCGATGATCGAAAAATGTACGCATTCGAATTGTAGAAATTGTATCGAAGTCAAGGAGGAAATATACATTTTTTATTCTTTGTGTAGGAAGATTAAAGCAACTGTTTGTATTTAGAAAATTCAGGTTAGTTAGTACGATGTATAAAATATAACAATGAACATTTTTCAGCCAAGATAACTATTTGTTTTGCAGAGCAAAGTGGTTCATACTTTTCGTTTTCCGATTTGGAGACTAGTAATAAATGGTAAACTGTTAAAAATGGATAAACTAGAACAATGTGTCGCGCAGAATGATACACGTGGGACTTCGCCGGTTGTTTCAATAATTGCTGCCATTAACTTCGAAAGAAACGGTTCTCAGTGAGAAATCCTTCCCCGGAGCCTATTCAGAGTTCAACGACGTCCGTTCACGAGATATATCGATAATGTGACTGCACGAATACCCGGAATCGCTGCTGGCAATCTAGATAGAGTTAGTCTGAAATATGGTCACATGGTTCTTGGTTGAATTATGGTAGTGGACTGACGAACAGAAATTGCTTAGTTTAATGAACTTTATAAAAAGTTACAAAAAATTCATTACTACAAAATTGGCATATTTTTCAAATAAACAAATTATTAAATAATCATACGAGAACATTATAATCGTCTTTCGGTAACCATATTCGAATAATAACAATTTTATTCAATCTTCTATTTTAACAAATATAATTCAATATATCAACGCTAATAAATTATTTAAATTGTGTGACAATTAATATCTCGAGGAATGAAATGATACAATGAGACATTTTAAAGTAGAATAGCTTTACAGAAGAAGACCAGTTCATTGTAATAGCAAGGATATTATAATCGTTACGAGCAATTAATATAACGACTGTAATGCCCGTTAAACGGTTCCGTAATAAGAAACACGATATTCAATGACGTTATTTGTGTGACAGACGTTTGTGCAACGGTTAAGGTGATCCAATAAAATTAGTTACCTCGTTAAACGGGCACACCTGTATTTTCGTAAATCCCAGTAATTAGTTAACAGCTGAAAACGACGCACCTGCGCAATCTCTTCATCGCAGCCATCATACAAACAAGCAATTTGGAAGCTTAGGTGCGAATCTGTCTAACTATTCAAAGTTGAGGCGAAGAGAATTAAAAGTTTCAATGAACTTGGATCAAGTCCCCCCAACTTTCACCCTCGCGAAGTTCATTACAGTCAGGTTACACGATTTATCAAACCTGGCGTGAATGAATTTTTTTTTATTACTTCCGCGACACACGGACGTCATTTAATCATTTTCCGCGACTGTACGACGCGCGAAAATCGACGTTTTTTAATATAAGTGTTCCTGATTACGGCCAGACACGCCTCGAATCAAACGTCGGATTAAATTTGAAGTTCTTGAAGCTTTCGACGTTTATATTCAAATTCGATGATCGTCATTATTTCATTATATAATTTCAATATGACAATTTGTATTCATCTTATTATATAGATACCGAGAAAATTGAAAGAAGTCTTTTCAAATGAATTAAGATTTAAACAAAAATTTGAATTATTAAATTTATTTTTATTTGAATGCAAACTTGAATGCAAAGTTCGGAAACTTTACAGTGAATCATAGAATCACAGAAATCCAATTTCAAAAAGAATTCCTTAGGTTCATTGATATTCTCTGAAAAATGTAATTGATAATTTTAAACAAAGCCTCCGATGCAGAAGCCTTTCATTTGCTTCTAAAATTGAAGTATATAAAATGTGAATAATAGCACACTCACCGCTGTATCTGGTATTGGGCATATACGAGAAAACCATTTCCGTTCGGTTGAACAGCGTGATGAAAAGATGGTATTTCCCTTCGGCGTTCGACCGGGGCATGGTGGTGCCGTCTATCATTCGGTTGCATTTCGAGGCAGTTGTGCTCCTTATCACCTCCAGCAGCAACAAAAAACAGTGGACGCCCTTTGAGCTGATTAACCACTGTGAAAAAGAAGCGCAAGGTCGACGTTAAACCGTGAACTCTTCATTTCATTATACTGCGGCTCGTGTTTCGCGCACCGAGACTGCAACACGGCAATTTTATCGTGTATCGTAGCGAAAAATTGAATTTTAATGCGAGTTAAAATCTGTGCCAATATTAAGAATGCACTTTAAGTTTTCCAATAAGTAGAGCACTATTCTTTTTATAACAAGATGGTAAGATAGTTGTGAATTTAAGATACTTATCAAGCTCTTACATTAATAAAATGCATATTATTGTGCTGATATTAGAAATGCACTTTAAATTTTCCAATAAGTGGCGCACTATTCCTTTTATAACAAGATTGTAAGATAATTGTAAGTATAGAATATTTGTCAAATTCTAACGTTGATAAAATGCAGTTTACGTATGCATCGTTGCAGCAAATTGAATTTTAATGGAGCGCTTTTCCATAATTATATTTGAAACGAAATTTATGTGAATTTTAGGGTCATTTAGGGCAATATTGAACTGGGTTCCAGTGAAATGAATATTGCTATCAGGTATCGAATACATCGTAACCGAAGAATCCAACATGGCGATCGTTTCAATGCATTCCATTGGGAAAGAAAACTTTGAAGCATGTAATTTAGTCTACGGTAATATCGGAAGCATACTTTCTGTGGAATCTTCGCTAAATTCTCGCTGATACGAATATTTCAATTACCTGTCGGGTATGTTGTATCCATCTTTGAGAATTCAATATAATAGTTGTGCATTGATGTGCAAAATTATTTTAATATTTGCCTTCTAAGGATATTAAATGTATTATCTTAGAAGAAATTATTCAAATTATTAATTTTATACACTACTGAGCATTATTAGCGAATAAGATGAATTAAATTATAACAGAAAAAATTAATTAATATATATATATAAATATAAATAATAATAATAATAATATATATATATATATATAAATTAATATTGACTAATTTTAGAATGATATTATTCCGAGAGATTTATCTCAAATACAAAAATATCATAGTCATATTAAATTCTTCTTTTGTTCTAAAAGAAATGAAGTTTATGGGTTAAAATATATTGTTTATTTAGATCTATTTTTTAATGTACATTTTGCCATGACTCGTCAAAAATATGCACGATAATAAGAATAATGCGTCACAAGCAGGATTAGGATCGGAAAGCGATTGACCCAATTTATCCATGAACAGTCACGGCAGATGGTGGCAGACGGTGAGTTTTCATTTTATGCGAATAGAGGCGATTTAGTTTCTTTTTCATGTGGCAGATGCGATGGAGAAACGGAGATTCGATGTTCTTTCGAACGTATCGCGCGTGTGAACGAGCTTTCGGCATATGCATAAAACAATCCATGTTATATGTTCGTAGATACTAAATTTTTGCATCAATGACAAAAAAAATATAGAATGTCTGAGATATCTTTCTATATTTAATTATGATTAAACAATTTAAAATGACAATTTTAGTCAAAGAGTAAATTTTCTATGTCTAATTGACGTTCGAGCAAATTTTTTCAATTGTGTCTGTGCAAAATATTGTTCGTCATCTTTATCCGTGAAGGTTTGATCAGGCTAAAACAATATTTTAATCTATTACCGTGCAAAATTAATACGTTCGCAGGCGTGAATGCTATAGCATTCATTTTCAGTGTGATACAAAACAACATGAGTGCTATAAACATTCAAATTTATAAGACACATTGCCATGCATTTAATTCTACGTAGCCCTGAGTTTTTGAAATTATTATGCACCTTATCCCTCGGAGTAATTAACGAGCTGCATTTTTGCAGCTCATTAAAATGTTTACTGCCCGCGAACGTGTTAAATTAGTTTTCAACAAACTTTGCGAAACGTCACTTGAAACACGTCAGATTTGCATCTGTATCTGTACGTTAGTATTTGCTTTTATTTTTGAGTTTACCGTTTTCTTCGCCGTATTTTATTTTATAAAGCTTTTCCCTAGAATTTACATTTTATCCTTTGAATCTATTTTTTGTACGAAACGGGGGGTTCCGCTCGAAATGGCCGACAATATTTTCGCTACAACTGATACTGACTGACGTGCGATAATGACTGGCTCAAATGTTCGTATTGCACGTCAATCAATCCACGTGTCAATAAGAAAACTATCAACGAAAATATTATTACGGTTCGTATATCCAAGTAAATATTTTTTCTAAAATAACTTCCACTGTTACATTAGCAAACGGATCTCAAATGATATGTTGCAGATTTTATAAAAATTATTTGTCGATCTCTATAATTAGCGAAATGTTTTTACGTTATCGATACATTCACGGTCGCGTAAACGGATTTTCAGCGATCTCCACGGCCAAGATCTTCATCAAGGCAAACGTCAATGATAGGATAAGCTGCGGTCGTTATGTAAGAGAAAATCGCATTATCGGTCGATTGAGCGGACCGTAAGCGAGTGTGTACAGTGTGCCGCGAAAGTATTGTGTTCCCAGCTTGCTCTGCTTTCTCGGGAAATATCGTAGCACAGTGAAATTTATTTTCTTTCAAGCTGGCGTGCCTCGAATTTTAATCTTTTTGCATCATACGATAAAATGGAGGATATTCCATTATCGTCAAATTTTAGTTTTTCTATTGTACAATACTTGAATGGTTACACTGTGGAATTATATGTATAGATTATAAAATAAAACCATAATGATAATAGTAGTAATAGTAGTAATAAGAATAGTAAGAAGAATAGTAAACCATAATAAATAATAGTAAACGATAATAAATGATAATAAATAATAATAAATAATAATAAATAATAATAATAAATAATAAATAATAGTAAATAATATTAAATAATAATAGTAATAACATAATAATGCTAATGATACTAAATGGAATAATAAAACAGGAATTTATTATACACATCTGAACGAAAAGAGGATTTTAAATGGTTACTGTAAATCGCTTTCCCATGATCACAAAAAGACGTTCAACAAAATAAATATTCAATTACTGAAATGTTCAATCTACGAGTACGAGTCATTCCGCAAAAATTGTTTGTTCAGAATGAAACATGAAAATCAGAATTGAAATCTCTTTCAACCAGAAAAATTTAATCAAAGAGCTTCAGACGAGCTCTCGAATATTGCAAATGATTGTCAAACTTATAATGAATTCAATTATTCGGAACAAAAAACTCGTTTCCGATGAAAATTCAATTTCCATGGAAAATAGATATCGCGGAGTTTTTCAACAAATTCCAGGCCAGATATTTCATATGCATTGTAACGTTTTTAGATGCATGGAGTCCTACGCGTCGACGGTAAAAAATGCTCGATTTGCCATGAAACGATCTGCATGAAATTTAAACCAAACGCGTACAATTTTTTCCGTCTTTTTTTCAGAAATATCGCAAGTTGATTTTTCATTCCTATAATATTTACAAAAACGATCGTTATATAAAGGAGAAACGCAGCACGCGAGAGAAACACGAAATGGAAAATTAATTATCTTGTATTTTCGAAATAAATCTGAAGATTCTATCAACATTCATGAATATGAATAACAATAAATCATTATTTTTTTTAAATACAGCAACGATTAATTACAGTTTTATCGTGTAGACATTGTTACACGAAAAATGTGAGAAAAACCCTAAATTTCCTCAAATTCGATTTTCTCTTAACCCTTTTACGACTAATTTATTAATGTATTATGTTATTGTACTATTTCCAATGGCATTAGTAAAAACAATTGTTTACACTCCTTCCTATCAATTGTCTGTCGAAATACGTTTCAAATGAAACAATACAAATAATACGAAGTTATCGAAAGGAAAATGCAAAAGGAACTCAGTGTGCAAAGGGTTAAAGTAAGTTTTGCAGGGAAGCTTCTATTCCAAATTCAAGTTTCGCCCTTGCCCATAAAATCGTTAACACCCCGGCATACCGGGAGTCGCGTGTGTATTTCACTGTGAGCGCTGGTCTCTCGGCAATTATGTAACCAACATTGTGTAACAATAAATATTCGGTGTATAGAGCGCAGGCTTGAGCCACAAAGTGTCACTTTGCCGGGTGCCGCTTCTATTAAATTAGAATGCGAATGTTCCGCGGGGAAGCACGTGAATGCCAGAGCCAAAGCGTTGCCAACACGTGCGACAAAACGTGTGGTCGTACTACTTGGTGCGCTTATACGTGCAGCAGAATCACTTAGTGACTCATCTTGCCAAGACGCGCGCCGCGGCGTCCTGAACGATTGCAATGGCGTTTCGTTCCCCTTCATTCGCGTTCCACAGTTCTGCGTGCGTTCCATCGTCAGAGTATTTACACAATTTTTTATATTTAGCTTAACGCGTTGACTGCCACGGTGGTCACCGATGACCGTAGCTTTCAAAACTACTCGAAAACAATTATAATTCGTGAGATGACTGGCGGCGAATGAAAATGTTTAATAACACAAATAACTCGGTCATAGTGTAACCTAATAACTGTGTGCCAAATAATTAGAACTGAAGTTTTTCGTGGCAGTCAGCGTGTTAATACTGGGTTTATTGTACAATTTATTCTATTGTTTCTAGAAAAGTTGATGTTTGCTCATTTGGATTTTGGACATCGGAGACTTAAAAATAAACTAAAATACATATTCCTGCAATTGCATCGATCAAAATCGAATGAAGCATTTACAAAATATCGTTTATAAAATTCACTGTGCGTCACATTGACGCGTCCTGTAAACCTACTGTTAAACAGGAAGAAAACGTAATTACATTTTGACACTGTCTCCATTTTCATGTTGACACTTCACTGTAATGAAGAACCGATTACAAGTTTTTCAATGACAATAAAATGCGTTTAATAACCTTCTTTTAAATGACCATTGAAAAAACACATTAAAATAGTAATGTTTTTATTTAATTCCACTGTGCGCAAATGATCCCAAGACAATTTTATATTTTGATATTTCTTATCATTTATGTTCTTCTTTACCTTAATCGAACAGTTTACGAATA